TAAAAATAACACAATTTAGAGCTGTAACAACAATACCATGATACCGTGAAACCGTGATATTTTTGCTTAAGGTTATCATACCGTCAAAATCTCATACCGGCCCATGCCTACTACGCACCAACCTAAAACAAGAACGGCGAGTTGAGATGGCACGCAAGGGCTCAAAGAAGCGCCTCCCTGATTTAAATCAGCAGTGTGAGAAAGTTTCGGGTCGACTGGCTATAAATCGGAACCGGTTTTTAGTTTTATTTTGGCCGATCTCTATTCCAGAATTTCACACAAACTGCATTTCAATAATTTCCCAAAATGTAATTTGTGTGGAATTTTTATGAAGTCTGTAAAGAGGAGAAAATACTGTACCAGGCAGATCAAGCTTACTGTTCACGATGCTCGAAATATAGGAAGAATATGTGGGGGTTATGAATGTACCTGACTGACTGTCTTTCGATGGCATTTTCGGTCCCACTTTATATTAAGTGTCCCTAATACCTGTGTACTTACATAGTAACTAGATGTGTACATAGTATGTAACCACAGTGTAAGTACACATTGGTACATAGTATCTACAGCTGTAATGTTTGTGTAACTACACATATGTAACAACCCACTGAATGGTATGTGTAAATATAAATGTGTAACAGGACATTGGTAACAACACTTTTTTGGTAATGAAAGTACAAATGAGTAACAGGACTAAGAGCACTTTTTGGCAAAGAAAGTGTTACGCTTTATATTAAGTAAATAATTCTTATGGATTTACCATGTAATTACTCTGATGTTACACAGCAGCGGCCAGTAAATTAGGCTTTACATATAAATTGTTGTCTGTTGGTGTCCAGAATGTTACACTTTATATTAAGTGGACCATTCCTGAGGAGTTACCATGTAAGTACACTGGTATTACAGTGGTACACCAACTCCACCAACTTGAGATCCAACTCCTCCCACTTTACATATCCCTAAACCTACCCATCTCCAGCCCCTGGATCCCATTTCCACCCATAAACCTACCCATCTCCACCCCCTGGATCAAATTGTTCCAATT